ATGCAGATGCAAAACTTAAAATGGAATTAGGTTAAGATTTGTAATAGAATATAATTAGCTCACTGAACAAGGAAATTTACCTCAATGAGGTTTAAATGAGTTTCACTGAAGTTATATTTCAATTATTTAAAAGCTTGACTAAAAATAGGCCTAATTGTTGACCAACAGTTAGTGGTAAAACTTATATACCATAAAATATGGTAGAATTTGATGAAAAATGTTTGAATTCATATTGAAATGTCTGACTTTTGGCATCTCTGCAAATCTGAACACAGTTTGAGGCATTGTTGAGAGGATACCTGAGGAATGAGAAACAAGCTCTCCATTTAATATGACTATATTTAGGAGAAACGATACATAGGCCTATTTCTTTTCTATGGGTTCGTATTCTGAAAAACAAGCTCTACTTTTAATATTATTTCAATTTTGGAGAAACGATACATATATATTTTTTTTCTGTGGGTTTGTATTTTGTTCTGTATCTGTCAGCTACCTGCATGTCACCCTGACAAACACTTGATGCGCAACACCAACATTGGTATTGAGTCATACACAGGGGTGGGGCATTAATGTTCACAACGGCAAAAAGAACAAACCTAACCTATATATAGCAACACATATAGAACGGTTTTCGCACGCTTTCATGTACATTTACACGATCTATCACATCGCTTTCTTTCCTGCGTTATTTTCCCTCGCCGTTAAATATAACAAGAATAGTATGCTATGTTGAAAGCGAACTACATTGTGCACTAAATATTCGCTGCTTTGGAAACTGTCAAAGTACTGTGGTCAATTCAGCGGTGTTTACTGTGTAAAACTGGATTAACATTTCCATTAAACGCCACGCTTTGTGTTTGCAATCCACTCCTTGCAAACTTCAACAGTAGTGCGTACTATTGCGAAGCTCTGTACTAGATGTCGTCAGACCCGAGGGGCGGAGCCAAGGTGTTGCAATCTTTCTAAGAACAGCATCATCGAGTCAGGCTGGTGTAACACACCGAGCATATTAGACGTGCCCAGCCAAAGTGAGACTTTACAGTCGGACGGCCAGGCTGAGGGGCCACGTCTGATTTGTTATCTCATTACCAAAGGGACCTTTATTGCGGCAGCAACAAAAGACCAACTAAAGGACTACTTTTTCATTTCTGTGCTGTCACCAATTCGGACCTCTATAAGTTAAACTTTCCTCGGACATTTCCTTGTTTTTCGTATGGCAAAACTTTCAGTTAAGTATGTTTAACAGCATCTTATCAAGTTTTATTCGTCCGATACTCAACGCGAACGATCGGACTTAATTCGACCACTAAAGGACATTTTACCAACAGTGAAAATCAAGTTCCAAGGAAATGCTGTCCATGCAGGACTCGTTCATTCAGCGGGACTAAGGAACAAAGACATTCGTGCCAACAACTGGAGATCTCTTGGTGTTGCCGCCAGATTCACAAGTACCAATCTGCTCAATCTACTGGACAAAGAAAAAGACAGATTACACACGAAAAGAGGCTAAATGTGCAATAATATATGCAAAACACATTGAAGTCGGAGATACTTTTCAAATCAGCTACTGTATAAAAGGCACGCGCGTCCTTTCAAACTGACTCATATTTATTCTGCATTCATTGGAGACGACATTTTCTCTCTTATGCCGAGACTTAACTACGACTGACAATTTCCCAGTGTTCATTTCATAATATTTAGTGTTTTTCCCCGGTGGAAATGTTCTCTGACAAGTAGACACAACTTAGTTCATTGTTCTGTTTTGGAGAGGAGCGGGTCCTTTGTCTAAAGCAGCGAGGTAAGTCCTGTAAACCTTTAAGCGTTACACTAACCTCTAGAAATCACCATTTAGTATCTCCAACCAAGAGTCCTTAAGATTAGTTCAATTATTGACCAACTTTCCCATTTAAACGATTATTGAGAAACACTTTAGTGGTTAAACTTTACATGGAAAGTGATGCAGCGCCTGTTGTTGTTTGAACTTTGTCAGTTTCACATCCATCTATTGAGCATTTTGAGCATATTACTTAAATTGTTTATTTAACTATGAACGTTGACGTAGCGGTTTACGCATATGCTGGAAACCGCTCATTCTGGGGATTTAGGTTCGAGTCCGACGAGCCCTGCGTCAAGTTCCGAAACCTCACACACGCAAATGTCTTCTTAACAGTGACGAAAAATATTAATACTAATATTTTTATTAGGAAAAAAAAGTTAGTTTCAAAACGGTGAAGTGGAAGAAACTAGGCTACGTCATTCTATGACGTACGCTTGAATGTGTAATAACTTAAACACTATGACTCACAGGCGCCGAGCAGCATTTCGAGAGGACCTTGAGTCAGTAGGATCTAGCAACACTGCTCATCACATAGCCATTCAACAGTTTTAAATGACCTCCTTTTATTACACAATATGAATGAACCTCCCATTCTGGTTTAGTTAGTGTGTGAGAGATTATCACACGGTTACTGAGTGTTTACGTGTGTGGCAATAATCATATGCACTCATTTGATCAATTTTCCCTGTTACCTTTGTGCATAGACTGTGCATTCTTCATCCAATCAGCCTTTATGGTATGTTAAGTCATGCTGTCACAAGGCCATGAACTTACACTGACTTGTTTTTGTCACAGATGAGTATGGACCTGTCAACTCCTACACCTCCACTGCGACTGAAGCGAGTAGACTTTGAGGACTCTCACAACACCGATACCTTCAAATGCAAGCGCCGCAGGCTCAGCCAGCCTCCTTCCCCGGGTCTCACGCCCTGTCTTCGCCCCCTGTCCCAGAGCCTTGAGCAGCCGGGGTCAGAGAAGCACCACGTCTCGCGTATCGGACCCTACATCCTGCTGGAAGCCACAGAAGGAGCTCAGACGTTCAGAGCGGTTCATCAGGTCACTGAACAGGAGTACACATGCAAGGTGAGCATAGATGCTTCATAATAGTGGATTTGAAATATCTTCTATTAATAAAAGTTATGGAACTTTAGGATCATTAATCATCTTGTTTTGGTATGTTCCCACCAGGTGTTTTCCATTAAGAAGTATCACGAGTTCATAGCACCCTACACGCGTCTGCTTCCACACAGTAACATCTGCAAGATTTCAGAGGTGGTGCTCGGGGAGAACAACTTGTACATATTCTTTGAGCGTAACTATGGAGACATGCACTCGTACGTGCGCACCTGCAAGAGGCTGCAGGAGGATGAAGCAGTGCGCCTGTTCGGCCAGATGGCAGCTGCGGTTGCGCACTGTCACGAGAATGGTGTCATTTTAAGAGACCTTAAACTGCGCAAGTTTGTGTTTACCGATCCACAGAGGTCAGTAACTCAATTTTATTCTTTAATTACTAGTTAGTCAAGTCAAATCTGCACTTGATTTTTAGTTATCGGCAAATGTAAGTTGATGTTTTTTTTATTAATAAATTAATTGTGCATGCTAATTTCCCCTATTTTTAAAATTTCGATTACCTTTGTTGTCATCTAATGCATGATGTTTATTTTTAAAAGCACTAATAATTTAAGCCTCAAAATTAAAATCCATTTTTACACTGTACATTATATTGTTGTAAGATTATTAAAAAATATATATATTTTTTAATTATTTTTTATAGTTGCTGTTAAATTTAAATATATAGTATTGAGAAATATACAGATGTTAATAAATAAATTTTTTTTATATTAACTATTAACTACTATATAATGTGTAAAATAATTATAGATTAATATAAAATGTAGTTACAATATATAACTATATTAAAATATAATATTCTAATAAAAATATTCAAGTGTTATGTAGATCATTCCTTAAAAAAAAATAAAATAATTTGGAAGTGCATACAATGTTATATTTACACTAATTACAGCCTGTATGAATTGCATAAGTGTTACCTTATCTTGCTCATCTAGCAAATATGTTCCATTCATAAACGTAGAACCTAGCTATCAGGTGGCTGATAGATGTTCTTTTGTTTCCTCAGAACAAAGCTGGTCTTGCAAAACCTGGAGGACTCCTGTCTTCTTAACGGGAATGACGATTCGCTGACGGACAAACATGGCTGCCCGGCCTATGTCGGCCCGGAGATCTTAAACTCACGGCACTCGTACTCAGGGAAGGCTGCCGACGTATGGAGCCTTGGTGTTGTTTTCTACACCATGCTAGTAGGACGTTATCCATTTCAGGACGTGGAACCCACAGCACTGTTCAGCAAAATTCGCAGGGGTGCGTTCACCATCCCAGAGACTCTTTCACCCAGGGCTAAGTCGCTGGTGTGTTGCATGCTGAGGAAATCTCCCTCGGAGAGGCTCGAGGCTGGAGATATACTCCTCCACCCATGGCTCCACTGTAACAACAACGTATCCCTCAACCAGCACTCCAGCACCAGACACTCGACAGATCAGGTGGTGCCTGATTTTGAACCAAATGATAATGGAGATTGTTAATGAGCCTTCTTCATTCTGTTTACCCACAATCAGGGGATTGGATTCTATGGAGAAAGACAGATTGTCTCATAAGGTATGCAGAGTTCAAGGGCATCAAATGGAAGAGATTCCAGAAACTATAGCAGGCTAATAGCAGTGCTGTTTTTTTACCCAGTGAGGCGTTCAGGACCGGCAAGAGACTGACCGTGTAGTCTTTACAAGCAGAAGTAACTGTGTTTCTTACCTCTTAAAATATCCATTTGTGGTTATCTCTCCAAGAAAATGACACTCGGAGGGCAAAAAATGCTGCTTTTCTAGCAGACGTTTGCTCACGGCACAGCTTCGGTCCTGAAAGAATATCATGAGGCTGCTGCACACAATTTTAACATCAGTATTGTCTAATCAGTGCATGGATTTCCCATTGTACACACATGTTGTGTAAATGAAAGAACCTTTAACTTAATTCCTGGTATACTTGATGCACACTTCGTGCCTTTATGTACTGTTTACATATTTTTGCAGTGGAAAATACAGATTTGACTATTTAAAGTGCCTTTTTTCCAGTAAAACAGCCAATGTTGTTGTTGGACTTGTTAAAGTACCAAAGATTTGAGTTCCCCCCCCCCACCAGTCCAAGCGTGTGTATCTGCAGCGGGTCAGCACAAGTGCTCATATTTCCTTTTCATGTTAAGAATTCAAAAGGATTCTGTGTTTTCTGCGATTCTCTTTTGTAAATGTCTTTCCGTCTGTTAAACTATGTATTTGTGCTGCAGAGCAGGTTTACCCCTGAAGGGATGTGGGGCACATCATGCGCTACAGGAAACGTCCATATAATGGTTTAGAGGTGTGCCTGTTGAGTGAAACAAAGGCTTTACATACGTTATCGTTTGTGATGCCTGCATGCAATGCTTTGTTCGTTAAAGTACTTGTCCTTTTGTAGATATCTTTTTGTTACTAGTGAGAAGTGGACACTACATTTGTTGTTGTTTCAAGGGGTGATGTGCCTACAAACAAGTATTTTGTTGTTGCCAATACAATTAAAATGAAAAATCAAGACTCTGTTGCTTATTAATGATTCATTATCAGATGTGACCTGCTTAATAATATTAAAATATTCGCATTCAGCACAAAAATCTCACAACAGCAGTACGTATTAATCCCAGCAAGGTTTTTCTGAAGTAAAAATCACAATCAGTGCACATTAAATCAGTAGATATTTATTTGCCACAGCATTTTGAAAATAACAAATATGCTCTTTAAAAGGATATTCATAAAAATATGTTAAGCTGCCAAGAAGGAAATGTTAATGTATCATTAATGCATAAATCTGCATCCAATGGTGCTCATCCTTGTTTTCGTAGGACTATTACTCCAAAAACATTTGTAGAAATAATCTATGAAATTAACACCAAAAGTGATCTTACATTTCTCTGCTTATATCCTTTTCTTATACTGGCACAACTCTGTAATACATAAAAGTGCTCGAAATTACAAACATAGATAGGTCAGAATCAAATCTAAAACAGAAAAGAAATGAAGTAAGATTGCGACTTCACATATGGCCAGATCTTCAAGAGGCCCTCCAACACATAACAGTGGACAATATGACCTATAGCGGTCATCATGAGTAAGATCATGAGTAAGTGTACCTTGCTGAATAGTAGAAAGACTAAGCAACAGCACTCAATCTGATCAAATTCTTTCAATATCAAGCTATACGATGTCAAATGGGACAATAAAGTTCAGTAACAGCCACTGACACCCAATCAAAGTTTATGGATATCAATATCCTTCCACAGAACCATGTTAGATCTATAGCTAAAAACACATCAGCAAAGAATATAAAGAGTAATTTTAGTCAAATGTGTTGTCAGACAATGAAAACAAGTCACCACAAACAGGTCTTCATGGAAGAAAGCTGAAGTACGCCTCACAAATGTTACAAAATCCAAATTAGAAACAGTAACAACAAATAAAAGCTTTAGAAAAACTAAACTTTACAGACCCATCGTGGTTTTCCTTTCACATTTTTATTAGCATTGGGGGCGCAACTAAAAAGGGAAGTTGACTTGTAGGTCAAGACACCAATAAATTTACCAGGTGACGTTTACGCTGATATCTATTTAAATATCATTTTTCCTGAGGCAAGAAAGTTGCAGGAAAATGTATTAAGTCCTACAAAACAAAATTACACTCATCTATTAACTTCTATTATAATCATTAGAGAAAAAAAATTGGGAAAATGTGATGCTGATATAATAACAGAAATATGAGTTATGAGCATGTGTAGGCCTAACAAATATGGAAACTTAAATTTAAATGTTAACTATGACATCTCAAAAAGGTCAGGTGACAAAGATGTTGAAGGATGCCACCTAGTGGAAATACTGCTGTGAAGTTCATGGAGCCATAAAAACGAGTGGAAATAATGAACATGAATTCATAAATGAGGTTTGGGTAACTTGCACTCGGATACAACGAAAAATAACCTCTTTGGAAATGAAAAAATAAAATATATAGATAAGAATATGACCATAAAAATATCACAACACATTACCACAGAGGAAAATTAAAATAATGCAATGGAAAGTACGCAGAAAAGTAAAGGAAAATGTTAAAGTGCAATGAATAGCACTTGAACATCTCTGGATTACAACACCTCTCCATTTCTAAGAAATGACCAACAGTATATAAAATGAACACACAAGAAACAGAAAAGGATAACAGGCATTAAAACGCAGGCAAGAGATGCTGGCTTCAGATGACAGGGACGAGGGCTTCATCAGGCACACAGTGCACCATACCTGTGGAAAGAGCTATCAATCCATCACTGACTTCAATGACACCAGCCACTGCTTGTCAGGCTAGTAATATCAGAGTAATTGTAAGCAGTTACACTGCAATGATACTTCTGGCTGACTGTTGGCCCTCCACTAGCAAATACACTGGAACCACATGATTTATTTGCAGTCATTTTTCTGTCACATCTGAATGACGATAAAGCAATGCAGCAATGCAGTACTTCCTGGAGAAGTGTTAACAATTAATAACGGTGCAGTCATAGTTCCTCACCTCTCTTCATCCATGTTGCCCTCTTCCTCTTCCTCATAGCTGCCCTCATCCAACTCCAGATCCAGTTCAGTGCCGATGCCAGAGTCTCGTGGAGCCATGAAAAGACTAAAGGACCACAAATACAAAAAGTCAGAGCTCACTTGAATTTTTTTCTTTTTTTTCCAAGTTGGACCTGCTGATTTTTTATAAGATATTTCATAATAATAATAATATTAATAATAATAGTGTAAAATATATTGTATATATAGACTACCACTCATTAAAGAAGTCTGTTATGTTCAATTAGGCAGGATTTATTTGATCAAAAATACAGTAAAAAAATAATACTATGAAATATCACAAAAATATAAAATAACAGTGTAAAAATATTATGATCCTTCAAAATCATCCTAATATGATGATTTGGTGCCGAAGAAACATTTCTTCTTATTATTAATGCTCCTCAGTATTTTCATGGAACCCATGATATGTTTTTTTCAGGATTCTTTGATAAAGAGAAAGTTCAAAAGAACAGCATTTACTTGAAACAGACATCTTTTGTACATTATAAACATCTTTACTGTCACTTTTGATCAATTTAATGCATCCTTGCTGAATAAAAGTATTCTTCCACCCAAACATAACATAACACGCAATCTATAATAAAGTCATTATCTCTATCATTAAAAAGATTTCTTATGTTTTTTCTTTTTTATATGTTGATGTTGAATTGCTTTCTCCCTGACATACAGATCCTCACCTGACAGAACGGCATGTAAAGAACACAATCCTCTTCAGTCTTTTGTTATAAAAGAAGTAGTTGAAGGACCACAGGTTGCCTTCTTCCCCATAAGGGTCTGAATCCAGGTCTGGATTGTAGCTGTCACAGAATGCAATCAGAACTTTTTAAAAGCATGCTTAATAAATTTAGTGCAGCTGTATTATTCAAACAAACACTATTCAAAATCAAACGCATTCAGCAAATTCTAGGCAAACCTGACTGAACATGGGTTTGAAAGAAGAATATCTACCTGTATATGTCACATTCAGCAAGACTGATCTCCTTGTCTAGGGCCTCCCATAACTGAGGCTGTAGGTGACTGTAGGCCTCACCAACAGCAGCAGACAAACTGCTGTTCACTGCATTAAACACCTGTGGAAATCATGAACCATTTAATAAACCTTGGTTTTATAACAGTTTTAAATAGCTTTATAATGTCCCTCCACATTTTCACAAACACAATTATCATTATTTATTCTTCTATCCACTCTCCAAAACACTTATCCTCTGTAGGTTCACATGTATTATTATTATTATTATTAAGAAGAAGAATATGAACTGTTCGAATAGATTTATATTGGAATATTAAATAAATGTATTATTTATAAATATTATAATTGCAATAACACATCCAAACCACTTATCCTCTGTAGGGTCCCAGATATTCTTATTATTAATAATAAGAATAAGCATAATTTATTTACATTTTTACTGTCAATTTCTAGTTAACACTGTGTTAAATTAGTGCATATGTTGTTTAAAAAATTGTAACCATTTTATGTAAAAATTACCCAATTAACACTGGGCTCCTTGCTGAAATCGTGGCCTTTGGTGCGACTGAAGTCGTAATCCGGCCGGAAGGATTCATTGAGAGTGGCGATCAGGTAAAAGAGCGTCTTTCTGCTGCACTTGTCAGAGAGCGGACCCTCCCCATCATCCAAACTCTGACTCAGTCTGAAAATTAAACATATTTCAGTGAATGTGCAATGACCTGCTGGAAGATATTTGTACTGTGTTTATGTGAGGGGGTTGATGACAGTGAAATGCTTATCAGTACCTCAAGAAAAGTCTTTGACTTACTTGTTGGGGCTGATTCCTGAGCTCTGCGGAGGAGACAGAGCCTCCAGCACGTGCGGCTGCCCTTCCTGACAAAACTGCTTAAACATTTGCTTGTCATCACCTGCCATCTTACAGGAGTAGCTCTCAATACTAGAGAAACATCACAACAGTGCCAGTAGTCACATTGAGGAAAAAAACTGCAAATAACACCAGAACAGTGTGAATGACATGTTCTTTACTCTTTATGGGATCTGATAGTGTTCAGATATGAAAATGTGTTTTTCAAAGGATGCTGTCTTCATTTTAACTTATGAAAACAAGCATTGAGCACTTACCGTCCAATTATCTTACAGTCTCCCGTTTCAATTGTGAGCAGACTATTTATGGCCTCAAAACTTGAGTTTTCCAGGAGCTTCATGGTTTATTCAACTTTATTATGTATATATTGACAGAACTATAATGACTCTTTACCGGCACTAGATGTCAGTCTCTTTGATAAACAACCATCGGCCAGTTATTCTGCCGTTACAGCAAACCAAAACAATGTTTAGCACTTTAGTTTGGAGAATAAACGGCACAAACAGAAAAGTATAAATAATAAACAACTAGCCAATATTGGGTTATAACCGAATAACCCCTAACCTCGATGTCTCCTACAGAAGCCCCTTTAAAAATCTCTCAATTTCGAGAACAAACGGCTCTCTATTACCTTCAAATGTAAAAAAAATAAAATAAATAAAAATAAGCCTCCCTTGCAGATTCTTACGACCGCGTAAATAATCTTCGCCGGTTGCTTAATTCACTTCTATGTCTAATAAATATATCTTCCTTTTTACTGTGAAATTTCCAATACCTGCCATTAAACAAGCTAAAATTTAGAGGGAAATTATGCATCCCAGCTATTGAATCAGAACTTGAGGAGAATTCCAAGGCTTATAAAAGCCTTATTCCTCGGTTTATGGTTGTCTATTTGTGTGGAAGAATGACAGCAGCAGAGGACGAGCGTTGGTGTTGCAGTTTTCAGTCGCGATAATACGCCGTTATCTTTTTCCTGTTTTTTTCGGTCAGGATGTCATAGTAATGCAAGTGTTACATATTTACCGCCACCTGCTGGCTTGGGGTTTAATAGCATTCTCTTTTTCTCAGAATCGAAGAAATACATAATACACATTCTGAGGCTTCCAATGACAAACCAACGGCAAAGTATCAAAACCAAGGTAAAATAAAGTATTTATCAGAAGCTATTTAACAGACAATTACTATACTTTTGCATTTCTGAATTTCCGTTCCTCAGAAGTCTTTAAGTGAGTATTGTGAAGCATACAAAGGCTTTTTGTACTGTTCTCATATTGATAAAAATAGTTAATATATTTAAACACAAAATAAAACAGTAAAATATATTATGTGGCCTGAAACACTTAATGAAATATTAAAAAGTACAATGCATAGCAAAGCTTGGTAAACCATGTTAAAAACTGAAACTAATATTTTCTCATAAAGACATTTTATTTACAAAGATTTTGAAGAGGTGCAACAAGTGCAGGCAGCGCTGCAGCACAAACAATTTCACATTACATGCCCTCAATGCATGAGGTCACTTAGTTAAGGTCAATAAAAACAAAGATGAGAAGACACGGGTGGGCAGGACATTTCCAAAGAAAACACAAAATATACAGGTAAGCAAAGCTGAAGTATTGTCCCTGAGAGCACTGCTTCATATTTAAGGGTTTCATTCAGAAGTCTGAGAAGGAACTTCCCTGCTAAAATTATTTGATATTAATTTCTCAAGCTGAAAAGGTGTAGATGGTTCCCAAGGAAATTTCTTTTAGCATAAAATATGTGACAGAAATTATGCAGAAATGAAAAAGGAAAACCATGCCCTTCAGCTATCTGCCAGACCGTTAAACCATAATACCATAAAATATTTTGTCTATACTAAATCAAAGGTGAGCGAAATGACCTATTAAAACAATGTTGATAATGACGGCAAAAGAACATTTAATGGATCATAAATACACGTGACTCAAAATGAAGACTAAGAAAGGTGTGGCCTTGATGTGCCTCTCTAATAAAAAGCCATTTTTCAGCATACACAGTACACAACTGAAAACTTCCTGTCTCTGTAATACATAATGAGTGATAGTGATATAACACAACTTCCAACACAATCATTATACCCGAGGCTGTCTTATAATGGCTTGTTAATACCTGCAACAGCTAAATAAGATTTTTCCCTTTTTTGACAGCTTTAAGTCAACTAAAATAAAACAAGAGGACAAAACCTGGACACCACAACTGGTGTTTCTCAAGCACTATTTGAGAAAGAAATCATATTTACATTGACATGAAAAAAAAAAAAAATGTAAACAGGAACATTAAAACAGATCTATTAAGAGTTTGAAAATATACGCCTCAATTTAAAATGCTGTGGGTTAAATGATGTCACAGTCCTTTCAAATTCATAGTGGCAGTGTTTTTGTAAGTAAAGGGTGACGTCACTCATGTCTAACTGTCAATCATCTCTGAGAGTTCTAAAAGAAGGTCGTCCTCTCCCTTGCCCGAATCCAATTCCAAGTCATCCTCAAGCCGGTCATCAGTAAATTCACCTAACAGTTCTTCAAAGTCATCCACTGTTGAACTGGTAACAGCAGGAGTACGACCAGAAGTGGTGCTGGACCGCCGAGAGCGCTGCATGCTGGGTGTTTTGATCACAGGGCTACAAAGGAACATAACAGAAGATATAAAATAAAAATCTCAAAAAATAATTGTGTGTGTGTGTGTGTGTGTGTGTATATAAGTATTATGTCTGAAATACTTAAGAAGATTTCCCATACCTTTGGGGGACCGCAACAATTTCAGGTGATGTAGTACTGGCTGGTTCAACGCAGCTCATAGGCACCATTTGAATATCCTTTTTGTTGGAAGGCACCCGCTGAGTGTCGGACTGAACATCTTGAGAGGCTGGTGACGCCACCTGAAAGAGTATTAAAAAATAATAATAATAATCAAACTGTATTCTATTTGTTTTCTAACACAGTGACACACCAGACTTGCCTAAAAAAAAACAAAAAAACATTTATTTTAAAAATAATTAAATGAACTCTCACCTTAAGGCGCTTGTTGGGAATAACCAGCGAGGAAGGTGTTTGACAGGCAGTGTTAAGAGGTTTCACTTCAGCAACAGCAGAACAAATTTTTGCAGCTTTCCTCTTTTGGGTAGGCTGGGCTGCTGGCCTCACTACTGACGGCTTTACATTCACCTTGGGCTTCACTGAAATGCAGAGAAAAACAGCAAACTGAGTAGGACATTTGGAAGATAGTTCATTTTAGTTTATACATACATAAATTTCAGATTATATTTTATTAGTACTAGGCATGGGCCGGAATGAGATTTTGACGGTATGATAACCTTAAGCAAAAATATCACGGTTTCACGGTATCACAGTATTGTCGTTACAGCTCTAAAATGTGTTATTTTTAAATGACTGGGTAAAAAATATAAATAAATAAACATTTCCGTTGAACACAATATATTTTGTTTTTGAGCAATATATAGAATATTAGGAACAGTAGAATTTGTTTATTTTTCTTTGATTTGTTTCCTAAAAAGAAGAAAAATAAAGACTGACATCTTTATTTAACCTAAATCTGTAAATCTGTACAGTTATTTAATTTTAGTTATATAATTCATATACATTTAATTTATATCATTTCATATCATTTAGTTATATAATTTCATACACATAATTTGATTTAATAATAACCCAATTTGAAGCAAAAACAGAATGTACTGACTAGCTTTGTGAAATTATACTACATGCCTGAACGAAGCAAACAGCAGAAGCTCTGAATGAGACGCAGATTCACTCAGATTCATCTCTGGCCTGTGTTAACGGGCGTTTACAGACTTCATATTTTCACATAAATTACATTTTGGAAAACGATTGCATTGCAACGCAGTTTGTGCAAGTCCAGAACAGAGATGAGTTGCTTGCAATAAGACAAAAAATGGCCGGTTGCCGATCGCGTAAGTTCCAGGGGAAGCTCCTTAAGTTCGGCCATCCTACACACACGTGACTGACCGCTCGCTCGCACCAACAGAAGGAGGAGGGTTGTGTTACTCTCTACACTGCACTCAACCTGAAAGATTCCTACACTTTCAGTCTTTGAGGAGACATGAAAAACAGCGCATACGGCAGGAACGGTATAACGGAAAATATTAGCGTAATCCGTGAAATTTTCAAATCGCGTTATACCTTGAAACCGGTAATCGGCCCATGCCTAATTAGTACTACTGTAAACATTACTGGCATTTGATAATTATTTTCATTTTGTCATTATTATATTTTTGTTAATACTGTATGTAAAAATTGAGTTAAATAATCAGTTAAAGAGAGATTGAATATCACCACCAATTCATGTTAAATTCATACCCTTGGTCTCTGTTTGAATATTTCCCTCAGCCAGCTGGATAGCGATCACAGGAGAGGTTGATGGCTTTGGTGTGTTCGATGGAGACCTGTCTCCAGAGAGCTCGGGGGAGCTTTTCTGGGGCACTACAGCAGCAGGGAGTGGAGAGCTCTTGTGCTTGAGGGCGATCCGCTGTCTCACTGTGGTTTGGGGCTGGCCAGAGGGTTCAGAGGCTGGCAGTGAGGCAGCAGGTGCAGACAGTCCTGCATCCTTCTGGGTGGTGGAGGTGACTTGCTCCTCTTGTAGCTTGCGGAGTCTCTTCTCTCGCATGATCTCCTCAAACGTTTTCACTTTAACAGTCTCACTGGAGGGTTTGCCTTTTCCATTTGTCTGCGAGTAAAACAGAGCAAACAATAATTAATCTAGAAACAATAATATTCTCTTAGGACTGTTTTCTTGTGTCTTACTTCTGCAGCAGGTTCTAGTTTCTTATCAGGCGCATCTGGTTTTGTCTGATCCACAGTGTATGCAGTTGCTGGAAAGAATTGACAGCTATGTGAACACACTTCTTTGGGCAAATGTGGCCATTTTTAAACCATTTCAAACTAGAAAAACATGAATGTGTCTGACTTACGTGAGCTTTTATTAATGCGTAGAATGCGCCTCTTTGGAGGTCCACTTGCCTCTGCTTCAGTTGAGGTTTGGGTTTTATCGTCTGTGGGCTCATGAAGCTGTGCCTGCATCCGGGCTGTCTTTTCCCTGCGCATCTCCTCCAGCATTTTTACACGTACCTCCCCAGCTGTCACAGGAGCCTTGACTGCAGCTCCGGCAGTGGAAGGTCCTTCGTTCCTCTCTGGGCTTTTGGCTGTTGTATTCACTTCCTGGGCTTTTTTCTCCTGAATTTTTTTCTTTTCGTGCAGGATTTCAGAAAAGGTCTTAACCTGAAGTCCGCCAACGGGTCTGACACTTTTCTTGGATGTGCTCAGCTTCTTTGCCGGCATTTCTTTCACAACAGGCACAACTTCACTCATGTTGAGGTTTCTGGCTGCCTTCTCTTGCCTAATCTCCTCCAGAGTTTTTATATGGATATCTCCAGATGATTTTGGCTCGCTGTCAGTGCTAGGTGGCGCGGCAGTCAATCCAAGTCTTTCACGCACTGGTTTCTGAGCTGAAAATAGTTAGTAACAAATTATGGAATAGATACAAAATACCTACACAACCACAGCTGGCACAATAAACTAATCTCTCACCTTTCTGTGGTAGCACGTCTGTGGAAGATTCAACAATTCCACCGAGACGTTCAGCAAGGCGTCGTTTCAATGGTAGGTCTTCCTCCACAGAAGCATCTTAAATTAAATATCATCTGTCAGTTTTTGTAAAAAGGGACCACAGATACATAAATGTATACCACAATGTGACGCAAACGGTTTTCATAACCTTACCTCTTTTCAAAATTCTTTCCCCAAGTCTGTCTGTAATTTTTCTTCTTCCAATTTCATTAACAGATGAATCTGCAACAGATTTTAAAAGGGTTTTAAACTTATTAAATGGTTCAATACTGCAAAAACCAAAGCTCAACCTTATGGACAGCTTACCGATGCTGGAATTGTTAACTTCCAGACGTGAGAGAGATTGAATGTTTTCCTTTTCAGTAGCAGTTCCTTTGTTTTGGGCTGGGCTTTGCATGGTGGACTGCCCTGCAAACAAATGAAAAGTGAATATTAAAATTATCCTTCAGATGTCTTAACAGATTACCCAAAAGAAATAGTGCTGAGGGTTAATTGACCAGATTTCTTTAGACTGGCCATGAGTGCTTTCCTCAGTCTGATCTCCTCTAGTGTCTGGATACCAAAGTTCAGTGAATCATCTGCATGACAGATGATGATTTAATAAAGCTCTCAATAAATAAAATAAAATATGTACAGAACATGGAAACTGTCTTTACTTTTGCCTGTGATCATTTTCCAGGGTGATCCTCCAAGAGATTCATCTCCTTCCTCTGAGAATTGATCTGCAAATATTGAAATAAAAAGAATTTAGTATTTCTCGATGAGGGATGCTAAACTCTACCCTTAAAGGTCCATCTGCAGACCATAGCTCCAACCCTAATTAAACACCTGAACCAGCTAATCAAGGACTAATTAAGGGTTGGAACCAACAACGAATGGGATTGGACAAGATGTTCTAGTTAAAACATCACAGAAATGTGAGCTTACCATCTTCATCATCGTCATCCACAGGGTTGATAACCACTGGTGGATGGGTAGGGCTGGGGACATTCTCTTGGGTCTCAGTTCTAATGACCCCTCTTAACTGCGGGTTAGTGGGGTTTGCAGTGGGCACAGAGACTTGGTTGACTTGATCCTCATATGGGGTCTCTTCCTTCTCCTTTCGCACTACTTGCCCTTTTAAAAAAGAAAAAAAGAAGACAAAAGGCCAATTTATATTATATATTAATAAAGACCAGTATAGTTCAAAACACTGTTAAGTGTTACCACTTAAGACGAATACCTTTGTCTGGGGCAAAATAATTCCCATCGATGACGCGTGGCTTCTCATGATGGAAAGCACAGTGAGGTTTCTGGCAGCCAGCTGACTGGTTCTCCCAATAGCATGCAATTTTTTTGCGGTTTTTCTAAAAAAATAATAACAATAACAGGGTGGATCATTATTGAGGTCCCATTTCAGAAACAATGGAACGATCTCAACAGAAAGGGGTTTTGGAAGTGGACACCAACCTTTATTTCCATATGGCGAAACTTGCAGATGTTACGGAAGCACCTTTGCTCTTGCCAAAGGGTGCAGACCGTCTCGCTACCCATGGCAGCCTCGCAGTGTCGAAAAGGGCAGCTGTCACCCTTAAAAGGCAAACCACAAGACAAAACATTCATTTTTAATTATGATCATTATCTTTTATATATATGCAAGTATGTGCATGTGTTCATACATATACATATATACAATTTTTTCTTACATAGTCATTTTATTAGGGCTGGGTTTTGACACAAATTTCACGATTCGATTCGATTCTCATTCACAAGCTTGCGATTCAATTACCAATTCGATTCGATTCAATAGCTATTATTTTCGATACATATCAGGTACAGTACATGCCAAACTAATGCTGTAAAATATACACACGAGTCAGTTGGTACAACATTACTATAATATTGAAGGTTTTTACAATAATAAAGTTACAGTTACATATTAATATTTCTACTTCAATTCGTTGTTTTTTTTCAATATAAACATTTAAATGGTGGCTGTCATAAAAACTTGATGGATTTATTCAAACATAAATTAAACCTTGAAGAACAGTAAAAATTATAATGAATATGTCATATGGTGCATATATTAACCAAAATGATTGTACAGTTTATTTTTCGATTTGACTGAGTTTATGGTCACCGAATATGTTTTTTTCTGAGGTAAATGTGACGTTACGTACGTGACATATTGTTTACAAGCCGTTATATTGGAAAATCGTTCTGATCCCAAACTTTTGACCGGTAGTGTATATATAATTTAACGACCTACTTAAAAACTCAAAATCAGCTTTCAACAATAGGGAAATTTCTAAATGTAAAGGAGATGTGACTTTTTACACTTACCTTAGTACAGGTGGAATAATAGTAGAAGTAGCAGTCATCTCCTTGCATGGTCATTCTGGCACAAGTTTGTAGTCTTCTAGGTCAGGAGCTCTTCAGTGATGCTGCGATCTCGTCCTGGACGCCTGCGACAGGGTCCACGTGAATCTCCCTATTTAGAGTGTTACAAGCCTATTCATGCTCCTGTTGATCCTTTCACATTTTCACTTTCACATTCTGTCCTGAATGATGCTAAATGGCCGATATATTAATACTGGAGAGAGAATGCGTTGCAAGAACTTCGTTCACCTGCAGTGGCTGAGACGTTCCCTGGTGATCTCAAGTGCTTCTTGAAGGGTCGCTCCGCACTGTCTGTATCCTGAAGGAACACTTGACTGATGAGTAAAGACTGAACAGGGGGAGATGGGGCAACTTTTGCCTCTCTTTTAGCGACTTGTTCCCATCAGACTGCTGTGTTAAAATTGGCAGGTGGTGGAAAATGTCCGGTTTTTTTTTCTTCTCTCCAATATTGTTGATAATTGAGTGGTGAGGGGGTTTGGGGGAGTTTAAAAATCCTCAAGCAAGATGTTGTCAAAAAAGGAGAGCCGAGGGCAAAACATGGGACTGGATATCTTGGAGATGTTGGAAAGAAAAAACAAAAAGAAGGGATCTCTTCTATGTCTCTTGAAGGCGTGAGGAAATTTTAAAGGGGGGTAGACTGGAACTATGTAAAAAAAAAGCCCAATAGAGGAAAAACAAAAACCAATGGTGAGATTAAAAAAGCAGCAATCTTCAGGGAAGCTAAATCATTATCCAAATCCAGTTATCCTCTGGAATGAAGGACAAGATCTTGCATAACCTACATTTCAAAAAAGAGACAAAAACACTCCCCATGTGCTGAACAAACGGTTATTTGAATAAGGAACACAATATATTTTAATACATGGAAAATATTTTCAAGGGAGACAGGACATGTTTTTAGATTTATATACCATGTGATTGGACACAACAATAGGTGATAGTACATAACAAACAACCTGAGATTGTGTAGACAGTTTAGTATTTTAACAAATTTTGGTTCTTGGTTTCTTTTGAGCATGATAAACCATATTTATCAAGTTTTAAAATTGGTATTATCTGAATAAATATTTCGCAGATTTTGCGTCCGCACCTGTAAATTTAGGGTGCAGTTTACAAAATCTGCATTTTTAAATCTCAAATATTTTAGAAACATTTTTACAGATGAAAAATATATATTATTACTTAATCTACACGCTTAGAAATAACCCAAAGCGAAAGGACAGCAAAAACAATTGTGATTCGAATTATTGAAAAACGCTTTTGTTTCCATTTAGTTTTTCAAAAGTTCGATTACGACGTAAAGTTACTAAATTACATTTGGAATTAAATCCACTGTTCACAAGATTTTTTCTTCTTCATTCGTCACGCTAGGCGTTATTGTAGTGTTTGGTCTGACTTATTTAACAATGAAGGTTGTCAGATGAAAAACACTGAGACAAGAAACGTTTAAAGAACAAATTATTTGTATATTATTAAGCCTGAAAGCTGTGTACGTTAAAATAACAGTGTTCTATGACTTTCGAATAGCATGTTGATAACTTCGGGTAACGTTAGCATGTTGTTAACTTTAGCACGACTACTACACTTAACGTTACCTAAAATAAGTCAATGAATGAATAAATACAATGTTCAATTACTTCAAATAAAGCGTTCACAATTACCAGTTTATACCGACTGGAATTAAGTATGTCCGGTTTGGTGCATGTAGAGTGGTCGACGCTCCTGGACAGGATTTCCCTTCTCGGCTCCACAGGCGAACAAAATGGCGCCCGGCTGTCCAGGCAGAAAAGTGCTCGCATAGACGTCAACCTGACGGACAGATTCGTTAAAGAGATAGTTAAAAAAATAAAATAAATAATAAACTGTAGGCAACGTCATGTTGTTCCGTATCCCTACGACTTTCTTTATTCTACACAAAAGGTGAAATTGAATTCTGGCAATTGGGTCAAACCAGACGAAAAAGCGCAATATATTATCATAAAAGTTGTCCAAACGACTTGTGTGCTATATTCCAAGTCTTCTGGAGCCATATAGAGATTGTGTGAGGAATTGCGGAAGACTTATTAAAAAGAATATTTATGTTGTGTTAAGCAGAATAAATGTATAAAGATTTGGAAGAAAATGAGAATGAGTAAAAATTATTATTGGAGATTAAGATTTAAAAATAAACATGAGTCAGGGTTAGAAAAAGTAGTCTCACTATATACTGTGGGATAAAATACTCTAATGAAAAGAATAAAAGCAACATTTTGTACGATGTATGTGTAACTGATTCTAAAATCACACGGGTGCTTTTCCCAAAAGCATTGTTAACCAACTAAGGTGGCAAGTTCCACTATTGGTAACAACAGAACTTGTGACCATAGTGCTTTCAGGAAACACACCCCTGATCAGTCACACTGCAGAATAACAAAAAGTTCACCTATAGACTACAACTGATATAAAATACACAGACAATGTTGCTCTCTTAGATTTTAATGTATTATTTTTAATGACGCCAACGATACAATGATTAAAAATACAAAGAAAATTAAAATAATAATTATCTACATGTTTTCCCATAAATGCATACAATATATATTCCATTTCACATTACATGTGCAAAGGCAATTTGTCAAAACAATGTTGTTTTAACATCCACTCTAACACCTTACTCTACTCAAAATTAGTTGTTTGACTATTGACTAAAATGATAAATTAGGCAAATTTTTAAGAATTAAGAAACAATTTCACAGTAACAACCACAACTACTCACAAGTACTCCACATGCATCCATATGTAGGCTACGACCTGTCCTATTAAGCTAATACAGATTTAAAAAAATTGTGCTGAGCTATCTTTCCATCTATGTTTTATATGAACAAAGGCAATTTGTCAAAACAATTTTGTTTTAACATCCACTCTAACACCTTACTCTAAAATGACTAAAATGATAAATTAGGCAAATTTTTAAGAATTAAGAAACAATTTCACAGTAACAACCACAACTACTCACAAGTACTCCACATGCATCCATATGTAGGCTACGACCTGTCCTATTAAGCTAATACAGATTTAAAAAAATTGTGCTGAGCTATCTTTCCATCTATGTTTTATATGAAATCAGTACATTACTCCTAAAATAGGCTATGCCACCTGGCAAAGAGACTTGCAGTTCCTAATGCAATAAAAATGATCATTTGTGGTGGTTGTGCTGCCCCAGAATGATTTGAAATGGAAGGGGTGCACCAGGTGATATTTGTCATTCCTCCAGTACATCTATAAAACGAGTTAAGGGAATCCATTCTTTGATAAAGTCCATCTGATCTGTTTGCACAGAACTGACTTGTCAATGCTGGAAGAGAGCTGAGAATCTTCACACATGTTGGCCGTGCTGAAGAACCCTTCCCAACTGTTGCAAAAGAGCTTGTAGTCATGGAACCATCCAATTCATCTTTTGCTCCTGCAGCAAATAATCACATATCAGAATCTGAAGATAAATAACCATTCTAAAAATCAAAACAATGTATTTATGCAAATCTCACCAAGTATTAACCATTTCTTCAGATGGTTGACTAAAGGGTAATTGCCTTGGCCACAGAAATATCCAGAAAAGTCATCCAGGTCTAAAGCCCATACAAATGCACCCCCAAAGCCATGTTCCTGTAAGTATTTCATCTTAACAATAAAAAGCAGAGCTGTTATTTTTCATGTAACATAGCCTATGAATTTAAACATCAGAATATGTTCCAGTGTGTAACAGAATGTACCTTAATCTCAAAGCTCCTCAGATTATCAAAGCCCACCCAGTCACTGCCTTTAATAGAAAAAGGAACTTTCTGGTCTTCTATCCACTGTACTACACCACCATTGAGGAAAAGACATATCTTGAAAAAAGAAAATATGTCTTAACTTGATATCCACAACAAGCATTTGCAATGAATATGAAAAAATATCAAACAAAAGATTTTGTCTATGAGATTTACTTCAAAGTAAGACCACAAGCCCATCTCTTGTGTATACGGGCCAGGAGAAGCCAACTTATTAGCTGGGGCTCCAACTCCACTCTGAGAGGAGGTGAGGATGAAGGAACGTCCATACGTGGCAAAGCCCATCAACAACTTCCCTGCAGGAGCTCCCTGAACTCTCCAGTATTGCAGAGCAAAATCCTGCATCAAAGATGAAAACATGCAAACTACCCAGTAGCAAATTAAAGTTAAATTAAAGCCTGTGCTCATACAAGAGTCAATCTGCTTACGGTGTTTGAGTTGATGTCCTCCTTGTCATGGATGGCACTGTACAAAGGGCTGTGATGTCTTGCAATGCCATCTTTAAATGTATGAAAATCAAATGTCTTGACACTAATAAGGTCCAAGTACCTAAAAAAAAGTTTTTTACATTTTTAAACATTTTGTTTTTGTTGTGTGATTTATTTTTGTAATTGTCGTAAGACAGCACTGACGTTGAATGACATGTTGCTCTTACTTTGAGATCTCTGGAATATTGTAGCTCCTTTCAATAACTTCTTTCTGTGCTGAAACAGTTGCTGTTAAAACCAGTCTTGCATTTTTGGTTGACTGGCCTTCAGCTAGAAAGGCTTCCAGAAGTTCCTGAAGTTTGACAAAAGTTCAAATTTAGTGCTTTAGCAAATAGTTTTATTATTATTAATTATTATTATTTTTTATTTTAAGCATAAACCTGAAGGATCATGTGACACTGAAGACTGGAGTAATGGCTGCTGAAAAATTTGCCCAAAATAAACACTATGAAAAATACTAAAGATTCGTGTAAGAACAAAAGACATCTATTGTAGCTTGTCAGAGAATAAAAATATAAAATTTGTGAGAAATGTAATAATCCCTATAATTTTTTTATTGTGTTATGGATCAATTTGACCCAGATGTTTTATGCTCAAAAATTATTTGCATAGGCACAAAATAATGTTCTAAAGTTTTTGATGTCTTGACTACTTATAGTGAATACTTCCTCTGCCTTTTTCATGTTTGGCTCTCAAACCCTTTTGAGATTAAAATGGGTTTCTCACACTTCTTTTCAGTGCTGCAACAGTTTAGTAATTGAGATCCAAAAAACTAACAAGCAAAAACAACCTTTGACAGACTTTTTGACTATGAAATTCAAGCGGATGAAGAAACAGCAAATTTTCCTGGCGTGATTTAGAACACGTGTCTCAATTTCAATTAAACTTTCGAGTCTTAAATTTTAAAAGTTATCATGCGTTTCATATTTTAGTGTTTGCCAAGTTACAATAAAGGTTTTCTCTTTGTTGATTTTTGGCAAATTGCATGGAAAACAATGGGAGTCAATGGTTTCTTTCAACACAAAAAAACAATTTTTGGACAGCCTTTCTAAAACACACTGTGCAAAAGTCTTAAGCCATTAGTATTTTACCAACAAAAAATGGTTTTAAGACAGTTATTTCTATCTTTTGCTCCAGTGTGTCAGTAGAAAATATCAGTTTACATAGCTAAACATTCCTTTTGCCATTAATTGTAATAATGCAGTGAGATTTTTGTATGCACAAGGAGTCGGACAACAGCCAGTGCTCCACACAGAGATCTGATCTCAACATCATCAAGTCCGTCTGGGATTACATGAAGAATCAGAAAAAACTGAAACAGACTAATTCCAGAAGAACTGTGGCAATGTCTCCAAGACGCCTGAAGAAACCTGCCTACAAAGCAACAGTACTGTGAAAAGTTTTAGACACTTGTGTAAAAATGTTGTAAAGTAAGGATGCTTTCAAAAATAATGTCATAAATGGATGTTATTTATCAATTAACTTCTATTAACTAAATCAAACCAACATTTGGTGTTGCGTTTAAAACAGCTTTTGTCCTAGGTACACTTGCACATAGTATTTCAGGTAGCTTTGCAGGTAGGTTTCTTCAAGAATCTTGAACGTTGCCACAGTTCTTCTGGGTTTAGTCTGTCTCCGTTTCTTCTGTTTCTTCATGTAATCCCAGACTGACTGGATGATGGTGAGATCAGATCTCTGTGTGGAGCACTGATGGTTGTCAGACTCCTTGTGCATACAAAAATCTCACTGCATTATTACAATTAATGGCAAATCGAGTGTGGTTCAAATTGACCCCAACACAACAGGAGGGTTAAAGAAACATTTAAATAAAAATAGACAAAATACCTATTAAATGTGTTATTCCTCTGTTCATTTTGTTGTTGCTACATGTCCCTTTTGTTTTGTGTGGGCAACTCCGCTTAAAGTAAAATGAGGGGTGGGGAAAGAGACAGGGAGGGCTACACATGTAAAACATGACACTAAATGTCAGCTCCGATTTTTTCTAGCCTATAGAAAAATCAGAAATTTAGTCAGATTTGACCAGTCAAGATTTACCTGATTGTAGTAACAGACCAATCAAGATTTATTTATTTCCCAATTTATTGTTTTGAATGAAGATTTAGTGTATCTCTTATGGTGGAATCAATGGTGTGGATGTCCATTCCCTTGAGAATGAAATGATATGCTATTCAAAACACTTGAGAACACAATGACAACTTCAAGACACTTTATTTTGAGATTGTGTAGAGAAAAATGCTCATGCATTTAAACCTTACAAATTCATTTTACTTTAAATAAAAGTGTGCTATTAAATGTGAAGCTCTTCACATTTAAACTCAAACATCATAAATATTATCCACACATCTTTTCTTGTCGAAAAGTCTTGTTGTCTTATCTTAAAAGAAGAAAAACAAATCTGGCGTGACCTATTTTCAGTTTTACCTAAAGCTCTGTACCATTATTTTTTTTTTTATTGAAACTAGAAACTCTAGTAGTGTAACTAAACAGTAGTATCGTTGCTAAAGTCACAAAGTTTGTCATCACAAACATGATATGTTTTGGTGACTTCAGACCTGTGGAAATCTAGCATGTGGACAGACAAATATTCATTACATTATCTTCAACAGCCTTAGGATGAACCCTAAGACACACTGCTTCTGTAAGATCATACAGGGACACTATAGATATCTAACTTCAAGCTATTATTTATGATAGTATATAGCCAGTGTTACACAAGAAAGTTACATTAAGTCATTGTTCAGTCAGATAGGGGAACATTTGCTCTTTGTAGTGTATCTTATTTTCAGTGGTAGGTGTGTTTAATCCAGACAGGGACAAGGGTCATGCAGGTGTCAATCCTGTGATTAAAAAAAACAAACAATTAATAACAAAATCACCTGAGCTTGCACTCCAACACATCATCTTTGACCTGTCCAAACACCTCCAACAATATTAGAGAGACACTATAAAGGTATTAATTACTAAAAAAAAAAGTACTAAAAAAAGTGTCTACCGTATGTTTTGATTGTTTGATATCGATTTAGTCAAGTCTTTATATCTTGATGTAATCATAAATCCCTCTTTATTTTAATTTGTGCACTACCAGTCAAAAGGTTGGAATAATTAAGATTTGTAATTGTTGTTGAAAAAAGTATCTTATGCTCATATACTGTATAAGTGTATCAGTCATTACTCCAGTCTTCAGTGTCACATGATCCTTCAGAAGTGATTCTAATATGCTGATTTGGTGTTCAAGAAACATTTCTTATTATTTTTAATGTTGAAAACCGTTTTTGCTGTTTAATATTTTCGCGGGGAAAAAATCTATAAATGAAAATATATTACAATAAAAAACAGTTATTTTAAATTTTACTAATATTTCACAATATTACTGTTTTACTGTATTTATATCAAATAAATGAAGCCTTGGTGAGCATCAGAGACTTTGTTTCAAAAACATTCGAAAATCCTAGGTATTCCAATCTTTTGACCAGTAGTGTACAGTATGTAATTCTGAAGCTGCAGTATACTAATATAACTATTTTTTCATTCATGGTAACATGCATTTTAATAAAGCAAGCAAAATGTATCAATTTAATCATTCAAACATAAAAATGGAAACTAATAAATAACTTTTTAAATGGGCAAATTAATAGATATATTTAAAATGATTTAATTCATGTTTCAAAATACAGTTATATAAAATAATAAAATATTTTAATAAATCATTTTTAAACGCACATTTTAAATTGCTCATTGAAAATAATGTTGAAAACCGTTTTTGCTGTTTAATATTTTCGCGGGGAAAAAATCTATAAATGAAAATATATTACAATAAAAAACAGTTATTTAAAATTTGACTAATATTTCACAATATTACTGTTTTACTGTATTTATATCAAATAAATGAAGCCTTGGTGAGCATCAGAGACTTTGTTTCAAATACATTCGAAAATCCTAGGTATTCCAATCTTTTGACCAGTAGTGTACAGTATGTAATTCTGAAGCTGCAGTATACTAATATAACTATTTTTTCATTCATGGTAACATGCATTTTAATAAAGCAAGCAAAATGTATCAATTTAATCATTCAAACATAAAAATGGAAACTAATAAATAACTTTTTAAATGGGCAAATTAATAGATATATTTAAAATGATTTAATTCATGTTTCAAAATACAGTTATATAAAATAATAAAATATTTTAATAAATCATTTTTAAACGCACATTTTAAATTGCTCATTGAAAATTGCTCTTTGCCTTTTAGCTTTTCTTTGTTGTTCTGGCAAATCTTTTGCATTACAAGCTAACACACTGATGCCACATCTGTTGAACATACTTTATGTGAGCCATTGCATTTGTATTGTGGTAACAAACCCCAGTACTCAAGGGGGCGAGAGAGTTAGTTGCCAGAAATATACTGATTATAACTTGCTCAGCAAGAATCAGTAGTAATTGACCTGAAAGAGAAAACTGATTAAATGAAGATATTTACGCTAATTTCTTCTCTCACAAGTTCACTTGCCCATCCAAAACCAGTATGAATTAGGCTGCTGTCGTTAAAGGATAAGCACGATTCTGAGATTCTGTTTAGGCTCTAAGCTAACCTGAATTATTATTAGTACAGAATTTGATCAAATTAGGATGCTGAAAAGAGAATACCATCTCTACAGCTGTTTATGAGCACTATTCATTCATAGCACACCTTTAAGTTGAGCTTTTAAAAACTCATGGTGTGCACTATGGTCTTCAGACATACAAGAGAAAACTGATTAAATTAAGATATTTACGCTAATTTCTTCTCTCACAAGTTCACTTGCCCATCCAAAACCAGTATGAATTAGGCTGCTGTCGTTAAAGGATAAGCGCGATTCTGAGATTCTGTTTAGGCTCTAAGCTAACCAGAATTATTATTAGTACAGAATTTGATCAAATTAGGATGCTGAAAAGAGAATACCATCTCTACAGCTGTTTATGAGCACTATTCATTCATAGCACACCTTTAAGTTGAGCTTTTAAAAACTCATGGTGTGCACTATGGTCTTCAGACATACAACATTTTAATGATGCAGAAATTATTCAGTGTGGTCAACTGAGATTTGGTAGCTATGCAGATAAAGGTTAGGATGATTATTTTATCACCATCATATCTCATCAGAAATAAAAAACGTTCTTTTGTGCAGCATTAAGAGCCACCAAGGCCAGCTATCCAAACTGAATCTGCTTGAATCAGATGTGTTGCAGCTGCAGTTTAACATGAAAAGAAAGTAACACAGAAAAGGGCATTCTGACCTCATAGTTTCACCATGCAGTCATGAATGAAAACAAGAAGACAAAAATAGTCAGTGCAGACAAACACTCATGGTGGTTATATTTAGATTTTAGTACCTGAGGGAAAATGGCCTACCAGTGGGAAGTCCATGCATTAAATGAAGAATTCTATCCAATAAAACAAGTCAGATGACAAGACGACAAATGTGTTGGGTGGCAGCCTAAACTGTGCAATTACATTAATGTTAGCTGTTTGTGAGGGTCTGACCCAGGCTCAGAGCTTGATTCCTTACTCATCACCAGACAGAAATAGGTTGGTGGGCTTTCCAAAACAGAATCTCTTTCCAAAATTAATAGTTTCTGTGATGCTAGTGGCTTGTTTAGTTGTGGTTGAGGTACTCTTGGGAGTG